GGGGCCGGGGCCGGGGCGCGCGGCCGGCGGAAGGCGGGGGGCCGCAGCCCAGAAGTTGCCGGGTCCCGCGCGGCGCCCCCTTTCTGCCCCCCTCCAGCCCCACACAGACACACACCGCGAGTGAAAACTTCACAGTTTCTTTAATCTGCACGTGTTCTAGATCCCAGCTCCCTCCGCCAGCCTCCCACAGTCTGTGGGTCCCCTAATCTGCGTCTCAGGGACTATGGGTGGCTGGGCGCTCAGGCAGAACACTAAGACGGGCCCAGGGCGGTGGCCCCGCGCTGCCCAGGACCAAGGCAGCGACAGCAGGTGCCCGGCCCCGAGGAGCTGACTGTCAGCGTGGGCCGGGGAGCAGCAGCCCCGGAAGGCTGGCCGGAGCCGCGGCTGTGGAGGTCGCAGCGGCCGGCCTCCGCCAGCCCGCGCAGGCCCCGGTGGCGCAAGGCTGGGCTCCAGGGCAGGGGGAAGAGGCAGGCGGGCGAGGCCGGCCTGGGCAGGCAGCAGCGCCCGCCGCGCTGCGGGGAGCGAGGTCCCGACGGGCCGGCCGTGCTGCCAAGGGCCCGAGGAGGCACTACGGCCGGTACATGGCAAAGGCTAGGAGGCTGAGGAGCAGGGTGAAGCCCGCCAGGCCCAGGGTGGCGGTCAGGGGAAAGAAGGACCGGTACTGGATCTGGCAGTACCAGAGCAGGAGCAGCAGCAGCAGCAGGAGCGGCAGCAGCAGGCTGCCGATTTCCAGCCCGGAGGGGCCTGGCTCTGACCCCGGTGGGCAGGGGGGATGCTGGGGACCGACCCTCGTGGACACGTGGCAGTGGAGAACACAGTTGGGAGGGAGGTGAAGGCTGCCCAGTGTCTGGCTGTCGTCTCCTAGCAGCTGGCCTTGGTAGATGAGGCGCACCTGCTGCTCCCGGCCGGGAAACTGGGTCCTGAGGAGAGAGGGCCCTGGGTAAGAGAGCAGGCCTCAGACAATCCTAGTCCCGGCCCAGGGCCAAGCCCCAGCCCTGGTGCTGCCCTGGCACACTACCCTGACTGCGGCCTCTGGGGGGCAGTCTGCCCCAGGGGAACAGGCCAGCCTGTGATTTGGGGAACAGAAAGCGAAGGGGGTGTCCCAGGTATCTCGGGTGGTCCGCTGTGGTCACTCCCACTCCTCCCCTTCCCATTTCCTTCCATCCATCCCCACCTACCTTTTCAAGGAGCCGATGGTGTCATGGGGCCAGGCCCTGGCCACCTGCTCAGAGTCATTGAGGAATTTCAGGCGGAGCACTAGGGGCTCCTGGGGGGAGTCCGGGGCTGGTGGTGCTGTTGCTGTGACTCCTGGGCCGGGTTCTGGTTGTGTGGCTTGACCTCTGTGTCTCAGGCTGCAGGTATCAGCCCCAGGGGACTCCCCTCTGCCGCTGTCCATGGCTGCCACGGCTTCACTGGGCTGGGCGGGCGGTGGAGTCCTTGCCGGCTGGAGCAGGGTGTCAGTGCCCTCCGAGGTGTGTGTTGAGACCCAGGCGAGGGCCAGCACCAGGAGGCAGGTGAGCACCGCGAAAAGCACGGTCACCTCATCACCCACCCCTTCAATCAAGGCCATGGCACCTCCCTTGCTGCCGTGCTACCGAGCTGGGGAGGCACAAAGGACAGTGAGAGGCTGGCTCGCAGGCCCCAGCAGCCCCCAACCCCACCCCACCTCAACTCTCCACAATGCCAATTCTTCTGTGGCCTTCCCCACCCAGGATACAGACTGCTCTGACCCTCAAATCTGCCTGTTAGTCCCCTTCCCATGACCAAATCTCAAGTCCTAACTTGGTAAGCCTGAATTCTGGGTCTTCTGGTTGCTATGGTTGAGACAGTGACTTGACAAGTAGTTCAGGCTGGCCTTAAACTCCTGGAGAGCCTCCTGCCTCGGCTTCCCCAGTGCTGCAATTATTCAACTCTTAAAATTCTGGGTTCCCAACAGGAACTCCAAGGCAGCTCAGCCCAGTGAAGCCATGGCGGCTACCTCTCGAATTCACCCACAGCCTGTCTCTACGGCGAGGCCTCTTCTAAGAGACCCCTCTTCTACATTTAACCCTTGCCAAACTTCGCCCCAAGCTTACCCACACTTTCATCCACTTCATCCCAGTTTTATTTGCTCTTTCACCTACTGCCTCTCCAAGCTACTCTAAGGTTCGGTCACTCGTTTCCCCAAGGGGCAGAAAAGGGCTCTCTCGGTCCCCTGCCTCACCCCCGTACGGTGAACCCAAACCCCACGCGCGACAAGGGACTTATCTCTAGAGCTGCCTCCACACCAGTCGTCGAACTCCGCCCCTGGGCAATCTGGAATCTCTGAGCGATGCCACCTAGCCAGCTCGGCCCCTTCCTGGTCGCCACAAACGGCACACACCACCCCCGCGGCGCCCCGACTCCGCGCCTCCTCCTCCTCCTCCTCCTTCTCCTCAGAGAGCCTCTCCAAACCCGGCGGCCGCCAGACCCCGGATCCCACGGGACCCCGGCTGCGCCCTCCCCACCCCGCCGCCCCATCACCCCTCCCATCTTCCCGCCCCTCGGGCGGCGGGAGAGCGCGGGTGATCCCGGGGCGGGGCGAGCGCAGGCACTCACCTCCCGGCCCCGCCAGCTCCATCGCGGCCCCTCGGGCACTTCCGGGCGGGAGGCGCCGAGGTCGCAGACACCTGGGGCTCCGCTCCTTCGCGGCCGCCGCGGCCCGCGGCATTGTGGGACTGGTAGTCCGCCGCGCAGTCCCCGCCTCGCGCCCTGCGCACCCACGTGCAGAGCGCGTCCGCCCGCAGTGCCCGGCGGCTAAGGACCGCGGAGCGCACTGCGTAGGTGGCTCTGGGGGCGGCGCTGGCCCGAGCAGCGTCCGGCGGGCGCGGATCCGCCCCCTCTACGCGGGCTGCCGCGGTATCTGTCACTCCAGACACCAGCGTCAGCGGGAGCACGTCACAGCATTCCTGTTGGTGATGCACGGAGGGAGGCTGGGGGGAGCCCATGTGGCCCTTTCACGGCCTCCGCCGATGTCGGGGTTGGGGGGAGGACAGAGGCAGCCTGGATCCCCAGAGCTCAGGAGGCGTAGGCAGCATCACCAGTTAGATGAGGACACCGACACCTATTCCGGGAGCAGTCTCCTGGCTCTGCCCCTTCATGGCCTCCGCAGGACTGTGAAAGATTCGTGGGCCCAGGAACAGAGAAAATATTATGAACTCCTTGTGCTGTGCTTATAGGTACATGATCTCAGATGGGCTATTAAATCTCTCTGAATAAAATATTTTCATTCCCAAAATGTAGTTAATAAATCAA